TAATTTACAACGGAGCTACTTGATCTGGCCCCGTCCCCGAGCGGGGTTTTACTAACGTGGTGATTTTTAAGTTTTTTTCCTACGGTTTTGGTGCGATTTTTTTCAAATTGGCGTCTTCGGAAAGATCTTGTAAACGCGCACAACTCCTGCCGTGACGGAATTTTATTTTTTTCCTGGGGGAAAAATCAATCACCTTTTGCAAGGCGCGCGTCTTCGAGGGATAGCGGACTTCTGTCGGTCAAAAGTTTCTTAAAAGTTCGAATCGCGATAACTCTTTCTGTTCTCTTTCAAGCTATGAGAAGTGCCCCAAAAATTCAGTACTATTTTGTGGAGGGTTTTTAGTAAAATCCACCTAATTGCGAATTGCGGGTGGACGAGACGTCGGAAATAGGTCTCGACAAAGCGATTATGGTAGGCACTGACAAGATCTCATTAATGGTGGAGTCAAAACTGGCTAACAGAATACTGATCTGCGACACAAAAATGGGCTGAAGTCCTTTCGATCTCACATGAGGAATGCGCTAAAGTTACTCGCCTTAAGTCCAAAACTTCTTTTCATTTTTTATTTTGGTAGCTCTTCCGATATGTTGGAAAAGGGAGTGTCGGAAGAGAGTGTATATACACGCTCAAAAGGAAAATGGAAGGTCTGGTTTTCAGTGTTACGGATTTTAGTCCATCGATAATGAGTTTGCTTGATATCTTATTTAATCAGGAAGGTCTTCAAAAATATTATTATAAATACACATACCTACTTTAAAAATACGAGCCTACAAGGTATTTTTTTGTGTCGACACTAAGTGTAATAGTTTCAAAGACTACCTACCTAAAATTTAGGTAGGTACGATACGAAGCGATGTTACAAGCGATTACAACTTCTGCAGATGTCGACGACCGACGTGACCACAACAAAAAGACTGCCAATCCCTTTTCAAAGAAGGTATAGGCGCCTACCTACTATGTAGGTATTGAAAAATCATAAGTCCTGCGTATATTTTGTTATACTTATTACCTGCCTTCTTCAGTTCCAGACAATACAATAACTTTAACTATAGCACCCAGCCAGAAAGGGACGAATTGTAAAAAGGGACCGGCTGGCTGATTCTATGTAAATTTTCAAACTATCCTTGACCGTTAGGTGCGGCAAACTGACCCCGACCTTCGTCCTTAACTTTGAAATATTGATTGCCACCATTTGCGTGATTTCTCTAATCAGAATTACAAACCATGAGGAACTTCCACAATTGTTATCGTACTTTCGAAATTATAAACAGGAAGCAGGTATCTTAGGTAGCCAGATTAAAAACGGATTCGATGTGGGCGTATATTAGATCAATATGTATGATCTAAGGCGTGTATATACAGGATGGCAATTTGAAAACTTACCACCCCCCATATGTCTTAGTAAATAAACGAGATATTTAAAAAAATCAAAATCCGTTTCGGTAATTTGGAGGGGGAATCACAATGACATAGTTGGCGACGCATCCTCTCCAACCCCTTGCGCCCCAGCCACCACAACTTTTAAATCTTAAATAGTAACCTCCCATGTGTGACACGTCGTTTGAAAGCTCTGAAAAATGCTTTCCAACCATACCAAATAGCATTACATTTAGGTTAGTAATTATCGTGCAAATCAATAAATAAACTAATATGATACATTTGAAATCTGGTGTATTTAAAACGCAACCGGCGAACATAGACGAACTACGAACTAAGACAGAATAATTCAAGAATGTCGAAATATGGCAAAACCAACATTTGAAAAGGTTCGACAAGAGTTTGAGAATACATTATACTACTGTCTTACCAATAACGGAAACCATTTTAGAAAATGTATCATATTAGTTTACTTTTTGATTTGCACGATAATTACTAACCTAAATGTAATGCTATTTGGTATGGTTGGAAAGCATTTTTTCAGAGCTTTCCAACGACGTATCACACATGGGGGGTCACTATTTAAGATTTAAAAGTTGGGGTGGCTGTGACGCAGGGGGTTGGAGGGGGTGTGTCGCCAACTATGTCATTGTGATTCCCCCTCCGAATTACCGAAGCAGATTTTTTTTAAATACATCGTTTATTTACTGTGACATGGGGGATGGTAAGTTTTCAAATTGCTAGCCTGTACATGGTCACCCACTAAAAACAGTCAATTTTAGTTTTGAGAGAGACATCTAAATTAAATAATATTATTTGCGTAACTTCGACCCTGAGAAAGGGGTGAATTGCACCCCAAAAATTTTAATTGGAAAGGGGAAGGGGGGAAATAGGGGTCATATCTAATGGTCAGTCAGTTAGATCGCCAGATCTCTCGCCGTTGAAATTTTTCTTGTTTGAAATTTAAAATATACGCAACCTTGGCATTGACTGTTTTCATTGGGCCACACTGTATAGATAGAGTAGGTACCTATAAACCCTAGGGCAGAAAACCTTTTTTCTGATAATACCTATGGTAATAAACACTGTTAATTGGTCATGGGTTATAGCATTGTTTAAATAAAGTATTTAAACAATGGTTAGGTATAGTATTAAGCGGCTCAGGAATTTTGTAATTGTAATTGTTCTGTTTTAAGGGGAAATTCTACGAATTAACTTAAATTCATTTCTGTGTTTTTCTTTCTCTAGTAAGAATGCAATAGAGAAAAGGATTGTGATTGTTTTGACTGTCCTTTTTGGCGCATTTTTATAAATTTATTTGTAGCTTTTAATCTCACTTTCGTCCGCTGAGGGCTGGCTGGTTGGCTGGCAGTAAATGCGGGCCCGTAGATGAATGCTTGTAGAAAGACGAGGGGTGTAGATGTACCTACGGTTAACAAGTTTAGGGAGAGGGCTGCACGATACGGGGTCGGCGCCATATATCTGGGCGCCATCCCCCAATACTCTTTGGTTTTTTCCTACCTTCTACATTTGTTTTCCTAGGGGCGAAATAAACCACCTTTTGCAAGGCACGCGTGTTCGAGAGGCAATCGACTTTGGGCAGGCAAACAATTCTTCGAGCTCTAATCGCGGTCTCTCTTTCTCGTATGGCCAAGAGAAGCTCAAGTTATGAGAAGTACCCAAAAATTGAGTAGGTACTATTTTAGTTACGGGTTTTTAAGGAAATCCACCAAAATGCCAATTATTGCGGGTGAACGATACGTCGAAGCTGGGTCTGATAGCTGCTATCGTTATGACCAGATCAGCGTCCTCACCGACTATAAGTCCTTTCTTATTTTCGTTAGGAAATGCGAAAGCTGTATTTCTACATAAGTCGGCGTCCCTCGGAGAAATTTGAACTTTAAATTTAGCAGCCAAGAATGAAACAAACTTACTTTTATTCGAGGTATTTTTCAAAAATTGAGTAGAAGATGAAAACTTACAACCATATCCACAGACTAACTAATAGTAGAATATCTACTGGCGACAAATTTGTCGTACTCTTCCTTGGTTGGTTGGTCAAACGTTACAATACAAAATGTTTAGCCTTGTTTCTTGCATTCTTCCAATGCATGTTAAAAACAAGTATAGACAGTTGATGGAGTTGTTGGTGACATATTTGCAAAAGGTAGGGGTCATATTGCTGATGTTTCATATTCCCTATTTTGATTCATTGAAATATCCTTAATTAAACCACTCCAAGCTGGAATGCCCCCCTTCAAAATACCTGGGACCCGACATCCACAGAATATACAGTTGTGCTACTTTAGCAGTACTATTATTCGAAAAGTACATGACACGCGACCTCTAGACACCGACTGAACAGCCGCAACGCGCGACCTGCGGCGTCTTCTCTTTTCTGATGCTGTCCCGCGACTACACCACCCACCACACGCTGCAACACCAGAAATTAGGAATTGCTATACTAAAAGCTACCTGTTTAACAATTATCAGCTTTATATTTTGTTTTAAGAATACCCTACGTATAATTATTGGCTAATTACCCTGGACTAATTAGTTTACGGTGAGCTACAGCATCCCATTCTTTGTCAACAAGCAACCGATCCTTGTATCATGGATTTTTTTTATTCCACAACACAAAATATTTCTCCTTTCAACTTCACAAATCAATGCTTCCATTGCGGACATCGGACGCGAATTGCGGTGAAAATAAAACACGTTTTAAATTAAAAACAATGCGTGCTATGCGGCGAGCCAACCGCGGGCGAATTTAATAGACTGTGTTTACGCTGGACGATTGATTTGATTTTCGTTGTTTTATCGCAAACGCTCCTCGCAACGCACGCATCACATCGCCCGTACCGCACCGCCCGTGTTTACCTAGGACATAGCGTAAGTGTGGTTGTCAGTTGTCACACTATGCGTTTTTACCGCTCCCGCTAAAACGGATGCGGTTTGACGGGATGATAATATCACACGTTAATAAATGGTACCAGTCACATACAATGCGGTTTCGCCGCACCTGGATGCAACCGCATCATATGGCTGTCAAACCGCATCCGTTTTAGCAGGAGCGGTAAAAACGCAGTGTGACACGACACTAGACCATGCACCAATGAATAGGTATTCTTTATTCATTGCCATCATATATTATATATATGATTGCCATACACCAACTCATTGGCGTACGTGAACGTCACATGCGTACGTCCCTGCATTAAATTTAATGCTTTCTACCTTGTAGGTTTCAATTCTTCATACAAAGATGCCTTGCAAGCAGTCTGATAAGAGTTTATGTTTGATCTCAAACCCTAATGACGGCAGTAAAGTCACAAAGTGTTTAACGTGCTGCAAGAGTGCAAGAGTTTGAAGTTGTCGGAGCCAGAGCAGTACAAGACTATATTGCCGTGAACGAGAGAAAGATTACACTCACTCCAACCTAAGGATGGCTCTGAATGCAGTCATTTCTCTGAACTCTTTAATTTGCTACACCTCAGCGATAATTGTATTAAGAGGAGACAAACAGTAATCATAGACAGGTGGCACAGAGACCTCATGGTCCAAAACCTCTAAAGTCTCAATTCACATACAACACTCATTGTGACAATGTAGAAATAAGTATCTTCTACAAAATTCACCGTTTATTATTTCAGCTAAGAAAAATCACATAAAAAACACGAATGTATTTACACATGTCAAAGAAATAGGAATCTGTCCCTTGTTCACAACGGAAACAAACCCACGGAGGTGCAAAATGTAACAAAACAAATGAAACAAGATGTTGTTAGATGTTACTTATAAATATAACAACAAATGAGTGGATGGATCGAAAAAATATTTTAATTTAATTTGTTTTACTACTCTGATCCCGCTTTACGCTGCGCTTTTCTTTGCCTTGGGCTGGTTTGTTTCGCGGGTGCTTGCTTTGACTGCTGCTGTTTAGTCGCCTTGGGCGATTTCTGGCTCTTTTCCTTATCTAGAACAAAAGAGTTAGACTAGAAAATCCTTGGCGACGCCTCAAGCGACTTACTCAGTCTGTCCAGTGTTTGTTTGGGCAACCAGTCGTAATCAACGTTATTCGGATTGCTGGTGCCGGTTTCGACAGGTACTTTGCGACTCGTGCGTTTACGGCCAACAGATAATAAAGTTTGTTGACCGATTACTAAAAGTAGAATAACGCCCGCTGCTAAGAAGACGTACAAGAAGAAGGTTTCGCCATCTAAACCTGTAATGTAGGAAAAAATGAGTGTCTGATCATAGCTGTGAGGTTAGTGATGTAACAGAAAATTTAAATGTTATATACAGGGTGTGATATTTGAGCCACAAACCCACAAAATAGCCATAAATAGAAGAACTCTTAGCCTTCCTTCCTAAGAGCGAAAAATACCCTAATTAGTAATGGCAAAATAAAAATACTGTTTCCATGTCTGGTTTTGGTTAATTAATATTATGCAACAGTCCCTGGACTATCTAAACAAAACAACATGATTCAATTCAACCTTAAAAGACACATTTTTTCATATTTAACAGACCTTGTAACTCTAAAGGATTCCAAGACCCCCCAATAATGTGCATGATAAATAAGCCACCCTGTATATACGACTTACCAAAAGCAAAGATAATACTGCACTAGATAAGACACTTTGTATACATTCAGAATACTCAATTTTGTCCGCAGAGTCAATGTTTTTAATGCAATAGTATCGATTATTATTGTATCACACCGGTCACATTTTAAATCCTCGCAGGATCCATGTCTTGTCAAATGTTAGATGTTAATTTATAACGTTTCCGATTATCATTTTATCTGTATGATGTCATTGCAGTGCAGTTGTATTATGATCACAAAGGACAATCCGTTTTTTTGTACTTGAATAAATTGTAAAACAGCTGTGTGCAGTTTAAACATAAAGTAACATATGCCAACTTTTTTGGGTTAGATAGTATATTTGCATTCGTACCAAAATTGGTTTAAAGTCTTGGAACAATCTTTACTAACATGCGGGTGGTAAAATCATGTCAACTTCGTAATGACCCTATATTTTCTTAGTTAAAAGATGTATAGAAAAATGTTTATTGCAAAAGTTTCTTTATAGTGAGTCTTGAATAATCTGCCGTTTTCAAAATAAATATACGGGGTCAGGCAAAAGTTATCGGACGTAACCTCATTTTTTACATTTTAGAATTTTAGTTGATAGAACACCCTGTACATTTTACTTTAAAAGGATAGCATATGAAGGTCTCTTTCCAAAAATAGAAAAACTGAGAAAATTAAAGAAAAGTCAAATAATGATTCAAAAAAATTGTAGAAAAACCCAGCTGTCAGTTCTAAAAAAAAGTTAAGAGAAAGGACGGTGACACGGTAGACTATGGGACACTCTCCAGGTAAGGAATATTCGACTGTACTTTCCCAAAAACAAACCTCTTGAAGCCAGAACGTTTGGAAGAATGCAGTACGGGAGAAGGGTCTGGAATAAACCTTGTTTAAAAGGATTCGATTACATTTCCCTAAAAACTATCATGAAAATGATGAGGTAATGCAAAAGGATCTTCCCTTTTGTTGGGGTTATTCCACACCTCCTGAACATGACGGCCCGGTAGACTATGGGACACTTCCCAGGAAAGAATGATTCAATTGTACTTTCACAAAAACAAGAGTTTTGCAGAACACTGATTTGGGAAAACATAGTATCAGATGTAGGGGGGGGGGGGGGGGGTATTACAGAGATTCAAATGGAGCATTTAACATCAAAAATTCAATAACACTAAATCATTTCAGCAATTTCAAAAGATCTTATGTGACCCCGTCCAAAAAAATTTAAAAAATAGGAAAGCAAAAGTTCCAGGGTTTCAAACCCTTTTTCCCCAAAAACGTTTAGTGCTAAAATTCCCACTGTAATTTAAGAGAAAAGATGACGATTCTATGGAATACTCCAGAAAAGAAAGATTTGACTGTACATCCTTCTCTTATCGCAATTTTAAGTAGCGCAAGTGACAGAAACATGTGCATTGTTCCATGTGAAAGAGAAGAGCGCAATGTAACAGTGGCTCGTGATGTAGGCATGGAATGTTAGAGAATGCACATGCACTCTCTCCATGTGATAGAAGCAGACAGAAATATTACTTACATTATAGTCATATTTTTCTACATGCTATAATCTCAAGAAAAAAGGAAAATTCTATCAGGGGCGTTTGGCCCCTCTATCATTAATTTTTTTACATGTTTACCTCAAATCTACATTCATTTCTCGCATCAGAACTAGTATTTGCAATTTGAAATTGAAAATAAATTTAAAATTCAGAATAAAATGGCGCATTTAGAGAAAAATAGAAAATGGTATTTTATTTTTTTAAAAACCAATATGGCGCCTACTTCCGGTATTGACGGAAGCGGCGCCATCTGGAAATTATTTTATTTCAATTCGCAGTGCTCGATTATGGCTGTGAACCAAATTTCAACTGCAAGTATAAAAACTTCGAACAAACGAGCTACGTGAATTTCGCCGTATACAAGGGCTACTTAAACAAGAATTCAATGGGGTGTAGTAAATCCATGTAAATTACGATTTAACATTCTATCTCCGTCAATAGTGTGTAATACACAGATCTTTGCCTTTACCTTTTAATGTAATTTGATCTGTAAATAAATAAGGGAATGCTCACTAAGTCATGAAAGTGATCCATTGTGCGACGATCTGACGATGCGCTTCATGGCAAAAGCCCCTATAGCATCTTTACGGAACTAAACTCTTCCATTTACAGTGTCTCTTATCTAGTGTAATATTGTCTTTGCCATAAGAAACACAGTGTTCCATACTTACTATAATCAATAAATTGTTATTATTCTTACCTTCATCAAGCTCGATAATTTGGACAGTCTCGTTAAATACAGTATCCAAGTAACTGTTTCCAGATGCATCTCTGTAGGCGAGATTAATGTTTAAACCGAATGGACGACCAGCAAATGATTCGGATGGAATAAAGCTGTACGCGAGCGTAGCTTCTTGAGCCGGAGATACTTGGCGATTATAAGAGATTGCGGAGAAGTTTTGGATGTAAAAGTTGTAGTCCATCGGATAACGGAACGAAGCGTCAATGGTTTCGAGAGTGAAATCCTGTTTGCCTTTGTTGCGGAATCCGACTAGGAATTCGACGGGTACGCCGCCGGGTAATTCTATTTAAGTTTTATGTGAGCTTCAAATTGATAATGTTAGGTAAGTACCTTACCGATTTGGGAAACTCCAGTGACGACAGGTTTGACAAATAGTATGACTGTGTCTCCATCTGGAGAGGCTGTAGTTTTCACTTCCTCTTCGTCTTCCTCTATATCTGTAGCGGCTAAATCGTCTGTATCACCCTCTCCTTCGACTTCGGCCTCACCCTCATCATCAACTAAATCTTCTTCGGCGTATGCCACACAGCTGCGACCTGTGTAGACAGTTAGAATTTGCAAGAGAAGTCCCAGTTTTCACTTACCTCCATTGATGGTAAAATAACAGCTGGCAATACCAATAATAGTAACAGGAAAATGCTTTTCATTTTACCGCTGATTAATGATCCACCAAAAGTACTAAATTTTCAAGCAATGTCTAAAGGTTATACCGTAAAGCAAATCACCGCGCGGCTCCACGTTACTAAAACCAAGTGAAGGTTCTCGTAATTTCTACCATTAGGTCAAACACCGCTATACGTGGAACTTTTGGTTACACATGGAACCCCTTCTCTTTCGTGTTTTTGAAACCGTAATGAAACGTCACCTATTGTGCAATATACAGGGCGTTCATTTGTTAGTGACATAATATACATTGATACATCATGTATCATACATGATACATGAAAAGTGTATTTCCAGGTAGGTATTCTTTCTTATACCAACTATTGATCTTTGCATTTCATATCACATTCAAATTAAAACAATTTCATGCTTTTGTTTTGAGTACCGTTATCGGAGACATGTTTGTTTGTTATACTGTACTGTACAGATGATTATGTCTTTATACTTTTTCATTACGTATTTATGTATGTATTTACGAGGAAGTTTAACTGCGCTGTTGCTTTGTATGCTTCGATTTAACTTCCGTAGAAGGAGTACCGCAGGTAGTTTGATTCTCGGCTGCAAATGTTGCTCCTTTGTCTCTTGTAGACAGCCGCTTTCGGCTTTTGTGTCATAGCAATATACGGGGCGGGGGAGGGGGCCCCAATATGATGACTCACTGTATGAGTAAGTAGTTAGAACTGTTTCCGTGGAGTAAGTACCTCATACGGTTCGTTTCTTCGCTGTATCTGTTGCTTGCTCATCTCGTGGTGACTGCAGCTCTTTTATCTTAGCAATATACGAGAAAGAGGTCCCCCTAATTAACATTTCCTCTATTTATAAGACGTATTTTGCTTGGGCGATAATGGACTTTAAGATGAATACATATTAACTAGCATTCTCACACACGCATTTTGTGTTAAATTAATTGAAGTCCATACTGGAGTATCGCCTTGCTTTTGACGTGTTCGGCCTTTTTTGTACATGCAATCTACCATTTAACGATTTGTTGTGGGAAGTTGGGTTGTTTGGAAAGATCCTTTGAAGCAATGCTAGTTGAACCGTCAGCGAATTTGGACTAAGCACCTACCTATCAATTAGCACAGTGTGGTTTTATAGTCCATTTAAGAGATAATCTGCGAAGAATATTGTTGCGAATACGGACAAACGAGTAAAGTTTGAAACGCGTAAATTAAAGGGTTAATGACCCTCGTACACAAAGAATAATTTATGGCCTCAAAAGTATTATGTTAAATACGAACGATAATGGAAATTTTAATTGATATTTAAATTAATTATTAGAATTCTATGGTTGCTGGGTGCTTTGAACGGTAGAGGCGCCGGTAGTTTTACAGCGTATAATTTAAATAGTCGTTCGAACATTTATATACATAAACAAATTGAAAAACTTGTATCTGACTATCGCTTGACTTTAGCTTTTCCTTGGCGTGTTTCTTCCATTGTGGGTCATTTAGCATCAGTGCAAACGTAATTTGTAACTTATTACTCGTTAACACGCGCGCGGTCATTTTTGAGGTAAAAATCATATAAATTTAAATGTAACAATATTGTACCTTAAAATGTGAGCTAACCATCTGTCATGTATTTTTTAGGTGAGAAAATCAAATTAAAAATCTGACCTTTGTTCATACCCGCACGATCATCCAGAAAAACAAGATTGTCATTCTGGAAGTCGCGTTCTACTTTACCCACAAAGATTAAAACTGCGTGACCTTAAATAAAGTTTAATTGCGAGACAGACAATATTGTTGCACAAACTCTATCATTCAAGGAGAATGCATTTATAAAAAATAAATGTTGTAATTGTGGGCAAATAATATGTGACAGACATTTACCGTCGGATCAAGTAATTTTTGAGTAATCCTATTTGAACTTCAAAAGCAAAGGAGCCATTCATTATACGAGACCTATACTGCATTCATTATAAGAATAAGTAGTAGATGGCGCTGTGTTTGAAGATAAGCAAAATGTTAAAAAAGTCGAAATATCAAGCATTGTAAACCAATCGGTATGTGCGAGTTCAAGGGTCAGTGCAACCAAAAGTTGGCAACTGTTGGTTTCAACAAGATATTGCAAACGCGCACAACGAGAATTTCTATTGGACAATGTTTCCATTTTCCAGGAAACTTATGTTGATGATGATGTCCGTACTAAGTATATCGTTGTATTCGTAATAAAAACTCAATACTCAATATAGTATGTAATTTTTTTTATCATGATTTCCCCGAAACGAATCGTTGTTTTGAAAATCTCCCAAAGGAAGAGCACCAAAAGTGGCAAAACGAAGGTGTTTTTATTTTTCTGTATCGAAATCGGCAAATTTCGGTTTTTCTGACATATCTTCCGAAGTAATCGGAACTAAAAAAATCCATTCGCGGGAGGTTATACGTATAAGAGGCAAACGAAATAAATTAATAAACATTGCAGAAAAGATTCTTTTGGACTCTGCAATGCAAGCCCCTATGACATGAGACTACATTTATAGCAATAATGGATCGGTAATTTACTGACTGAATAAGAAGGAAGCTAACTTTGGAGTTTTGTGGTTGGACCGTTCAACGGAAACATACTGTACATCAGTATTCAGTAGTTCCACCTGATGTTGGCTGCAAGTAATAAAACAAGCGTCGTTATTGCGCAGCTGCGGAAAAAATTGTCATCTGCCATTTTGTTTGAATCCTTTAACAATTAACCAAAGCTGCACGTGGTTTTGCTCCTTATAAATTAATTAAAATGGATAAACCAGTAGTAAGGGCTCGTGTGATTAAAGTTCTGGGACGTACCGGTTCACAAGGCCAATGTACACAAGTCAAAGTAGAATTTATCGGTGATCAAAATCGACAGATTATCCGAAACGTTAAGGGACCTGTTCGGGAAGGAGACATTCTAACGTTACTGGAATCAGAACGTGAAGCTAGAAGATTAAGATAAGCAACTGTAAGTTACGGCATTTATAAATTGGGAAAATTAATTCGATTGTTTTTAGATTTCTCATGCGGGCAACATGTTACATCGATAAATGTTTAAATAATTTATTCAAGACCTACGACATGTACATTGTTGCTATAATAAAACATTTTTAAGTTCAGTGAAAGTAGTCCTTTAACAATTTTATAACTTGAGCTTTTCCTTTCATATTACTTGCTTTGGCGTTAAGTACGTTTTTCTTAGCCACACCTTTAGCATTAAGTAGTGCGAGCACCCTACAAGACAAGTTGGTGAAACATTTTTGAAGATCTGCTTCTTACTTTTCTGCAATTTCGGATATGATGGTTTCAGATCCGGAGAGCACGAGACTACCTTGTGCTTTATCATCACCGACTGATAAGAAAAACAATGTATCACAAGGGCCAACTTCTCTCAAGAAATTCTGCATAAAATCGGGCTCTGCTTCTTTTCGGTGCAAGACGTAATACTTCGGCTTAGGTTCCAATGATTTGAATTTATGTGCTTCGAATGCTGCCAAGTCTTTTAGGACAGATTGTA